GTGTGTGTGTGTCAGTGTAGTGGTCTTTCTAGTTGAGAGAGAGAGCTATTATTCAGAAGTCATCGCTGAACATGTAAACAAACTAAATGACTTCACAATGAGTCAGAAACATTAGTGGGGGATGCTGACAATCAACTTTGTCGATTCAAAAATCTTCTGTTTTGACCTTTTCCTTGGGAGAATGCAAGTGGGCTGCCGTTCAGTACCTGTGTAAATTGACCTCTGAACATAGCTTCATCATGAAACTCCATTGTTTGGAATTATCTCTACGCATTTGTTGTGTTTCTTTTAAACATATCAGCCGTATGTGGCTGTGTAGCTTTGAAGAATACAGGCACTGAGGTGTAGGAGTTAAGCTCTCCTATGTAGATATCCTGTATTAGGGAGATAAATACCACAGTTGGCTCTCACAAGAGTTCCAGAGATTTATGGATTGCTTCTGTGCAGCAGGCCTCTGGGAAGCAAATATTCTACGAAATCCTCCAAATGTTTTGGTAGTGTGCAACACACAAACGCACACAAACAGACTCCATCCATGCCTTTAAGGCTGAGCTGCAGCAGCTGCTACTATAGGTGGTGTAAAAAAGTTTGTTGCATTGCTGAGGTTGGCAAACAAGCAAAAAAGAAAAAGGGTGGGGTGGGTAGAGTGTGGGTATGTGTGTGGTTTAGAGGGGGACTAAGATGCAACAGCCAAGGGTGTTGCATCATCCCATTAATTACTCCCACTGCACAATGTCCTCCACTACAGTGTGCATGACCCACATGCTCAGAAAGATAAGCAGGGCTGTAACGAGCATGGGAATAGGGTGAAAAAAAACAAGGATCAGACGAACCGGACAATACTCCAATCAACTCAGCCCCTCACTGTCAAAGTTTTTATTTCGGCCTAAGCCTCAATGCACATCAATTACAACTGAGTAGCTGGGAACAAAATAAAGAGGGTTGGGGGGGGGGCATTCTTTTGTTCATTTATGAAGTATTTTAGTGGAAAGTGGCCTGCTGAGAGTCACCCCCCATGGCTGGAGATGGCCAGTTAGTGGGAAGGGCCATGACAGATATATCTGATCCTTTGTGGAGGCAGTATTGATCCAGCAAAAGCTCACTACATGAATCAAGTATGAGCTCTGTGCAGTTAGTTCCTTCACTCTGTGGGATGGATGTGCTTCAGTGCAATAGAAACACACACTTTCTCATGTAGCCCAAAATGGACAAGCTGGTCATTAAACCCAATCAGGTTGAGGGCTGCTGGCATAGTGGGAGCTTGGACTTGAATTTCATGCGTTGCTCATGAGTGAGTTCAAAGAAAACCGAGCAAAATACAGCAAAACGCATTGCCATAACTTCACCCTAATTTATAATTCTCAAATCTCAATTCTCATTTTCCAAAAGTTATATGTGCTGAACTCCAGAGCTCTCATTTCAAGCATCCTCTGTGCAGTTATGTGTTATGGTGGGAAAGTGAACTTTACAGTGGCAGTTATGGTCCAATTCGGCCTATGTCTCTTCTCTACTAATTGCTATGCCCATCAATGACAAGTCATTTCCACTCCACCTGTCCTTAGCAGCAGTAAGTTTCTCTCTTCTCTTGTCTTTCTCTCTCGGTTGTGTTTTCCAGGATGGTCAGATCAACCAGCCTGCATGTCTGTTTTGTATCTTACGCTATTTCACAGGGACAACCTGTTCTGGTCCTTCTGGATTTAACAGACTGCTGAGCACAGGGTATTTACGATATCCACTCACACACACACATACACACTCAAGTCTCCAGAGGATAGGATCTCAGAGAAGCAACACAGCCTATTTCACTACAAATTAGGTTAATCATGCTCCAGAGAGGCCCAGTTAATAACCCTCATAGAGGCTATTAAGATGGCACCTAAATCACATGAATATCTGAATATCCGATGGCCCCTTACACAGTAATGCCATCTTTATCCCTGGAGTTCTTGTGAGGATGATGACTGGTCATCAACACCCTTAAAAACCCTGAGAAAACACCTCAGTGTGTAGAGTATAATACATAAGGAGCCCTGGTTCATTAAGCCAGCGTTATTAATCAAAATTAGACTATTTCTCAGCTACAAAACAGTTTTCTTTCTTAAACAGGGATAAGACACAGAATACCAAGTACCATCACCATTATGTTCTCATATTGTTTTGAGGACATAATTCTCATGTTCTCATATTGTTTTGAGGACATAATTCTCATGTTCTCATATTGTTTTGAGTACATAATTCCAGAGCTCTTGCAACTCAAGTTTCATTAAAGCCACTTTCTCTCTTTTTCTTTCTGTACATTCTGAGAGTCCTTTCGAACTAACACTCACTTATATATCACACTTACCCCATCCCCATGTATTACAAGAATTTATCCAGGCCAGAAAAACCTAGACACATACAGGAACAGTCACCTGCATTTAATAATCCTGTTGTAGGCAAGTGGAAAGTGACAAATGAAGCCAAAGGTAACTGGTGTCTCTGCCAGTAATGTAACGGCGCAGTGTGTCGAGGCTAAAGAAACTGTGTGACATACATCCAAGAAATAGGCTATTGAGCCCTGAGATGCAGAGCCTCTCTGAGATCCGTATACGTTTATGAAACTTGAGAAATCCATTACTTTGACTGAAAAGGGTCACATGTAAGTGGCAATGCAGCGTGTGCTTTATTCAAGCTAACAGGGCACGTTGGTGAGCTGGATCTTCCTACTGGCACATTTTTGTTTCCTGAATGATAGTTTTATGGGTAGTTTGGTAGAATTTTTCACCATTTTTATATTTAGTGCAGAAATCATAACTTCATATTAATCAGACAATTGACAGAAAATGATTCAACCAATTGACTTAAGTAATTTATTAAGCAATATTTTTTTATATATTTTTTTTAATATTTCATATCATTGCAAAGTGAATATCTTTGAGTTTGGACTGTTGGTCGGACAAAAGAAACTATATGATGACTTTTGACATTTAAAAACTAAACAATTAATTATTCAAACTTAATTGCAGCCCTAATTTTGGGGGGGGAAACTCCATTATTGGGAAGGGCCATATAGTTGAAAGCTTGGTAATACAGTAAAAATAGTTATCACACTATGGAATATATTACGATATCAATTTAATCACAATATGGCAAACGTATGACAAATGCCAGCTGCTGCAAAAAATCAGATCTGTTCTTCAACTAACTCCACTGTTTAGCAACAAAGAACACCTCACATTTAACACAAAAACTTAAAAAACAAGTTTTGATTAATTTGAATGACATAATTTTGTGAAATAACATGATATGCTCATATCACCATCATTGTACAATTACACTGAAAGTCTACGGTATAAACAATGATACTGAATCATCACCCAACCCCTGTCCACAGAGTGTCCTAATGAGACAGTTTGCCCAGATTAAGTGAAGACTACCTACAGCGGTCTTCTTCAAAATCCTTGGTTTTAACATATTTAGGTATCTATGCATCCATCCTTCTCTCCAGGTTTGCTAAAGTTAGTGAGGTTGCATTTACGCCTCCACATATCAAGTTTCTGTAGGTGGTCTGTTATTTGTCTGTTCCAACAGGTACAGTAGCTTTCTCTGCACATGCTCAATTTCTTCAGCCTGTGATGGGAAACACAATCTGGAACATGGTGAATTACTACAAATAAGAAGCGGCTTCAGTCTATAACAGCAGTTGCCGCTCATCCCAAGTCCCATTATGTCATTCCACATCCTGTCAGCATGCGAGAGGGAAATTCCTGAAGATGGAAATTGGTTTATCTTTGCCTATGACCGATCCATATACAGATCTGAGACCTAAATGCATTTCATCTTATGCAACTGCTCTGGCTTACAGCGTGTATTGCCATTACCCTGCGAGGTCAGCCCTAAGATGGACAGTGTGTGTCATGCATAATAAACGTACAGCTGCAAATGGGCAGGAATTAGAGCTACCAGTGAGAATGAGATCCAGCAGGTGGCAAGAGAATTTCACCACTGGCAGGTTGGGTCTCATTTCACAGCGTGTCTAAACCTATTTTACGGCAAATGAATTAGCTCAATTTTAGCTTTTCTTTGCAGACTTCCTAACTAATCAAAGTCAGTAGCCTGGCCTCCATACTGCTTCAGTTTAGAGATGCCATGTTTAATCATTTATTATTTTGTTCTATGAGTGGATTTTTTTTATTGTAATCAAACAAATAAAGGAGACAAGGAGCAAGATGTGAGTGGATGTGTTAGGTTGACTGAGGTCCAGGCAGTCTGCATGACATCTTCTACTTTATCTTGGTTAAGCACTTGTACACCCTCTACTTCCATATTTATTAGGAGGGGAAAGCTAGACTTCCAAAGCCACAAACTCTAAAATGTTAATTGAATCATAATCCCACAAAGAAATGTGTTTAGTGTTTATAATTTATTTCACCAGCACCGACTAATTACCTTATTAATTGCGTATTTCTGTAAGAAACGTGCATGTGTTTGTTCTCACAAGCTGGGAGGAGCTGACAGAACTAACCTTGAGGCTCTATATGCGCGTGCGTCTGTACACGTGTGTTTTGGGCGTGTGCGTGTCTGCGAGTGTACGTGTGTGGCTTGCTCCGTACTGCTGGCGACCCCCAGCGTACAGGACGTGAAATTTTCGATCATATTTCGCTTAAACATCCCAAAACATTTCCATATAATGCCTCCGCCTTAACATTCCTCTGTGTCAACACCGCAGCGGAAAAATCATCGGTGTGGGCTTTTTGAAGAACTTTGGTACAACAAGACAACCTACGTTTTCCTGTTACAGTTTTCCTTTTACAGACCTATTCATACATCTAATCCAGTCATCATTTCCAGCAGACTCTCATAACTTGCGGTGGCGTAGATTAAAAAAACTGACACAACATGTTGTCGAACATCTGCGTCAAATGTGAAACAGTGTAAGACAGCATTTACATTTTTCATCTCCCATATGCATTTGCCAATCACAATATAATTATTGTAATATTAAATAAAATTGTTCTTACCTGCGCGCAACACTCTGTTTTATCCACATTTTTCTCGACTGCCGAATCCGACTCAGTCCTCCAGGTATCCTCCCATTTAGATGGGTTTCCACCAAAGTCGACAATAGCTTATAAAACACTCAAGTGAGGGGGACCTTACTCCAGCTGTCAGTAACGCAACCATTATTTAAGCCATATCCTTCAACGTTGCGCACGTCAAATCCCTCCGATAGCGCTGCCAAATCCCACTAAAAATACCGGAGCAATAGTCAGGTCTCTTTAAGTTGCTCGTCAATTGTTCTATGGGCGATAATGTCCCTCGTCGTCAGTTGAACGGAGAGGGGCACACGCTTACAGACGGGCAGGTGAGCGGGAAACCATCAGAGGTAGCCTACCCTCAAACTTTACCTTCACGCAGATCTTTCATTTCCCCCCCACCCACCCGGCTGGAAAGACAACGATGTGCGCTGCGGAGACAAAAACAAGGCATTTAGATGGCATCCTCGTAGCTGAAATGACAGCGCACCCTCTCCTACATTGCTGAAAGGCAGATGAACGTACAAAAAAAATGAGGGTGGAAGATGAGGATATTCGGTTCTCTGAAGCACGGAGGAGACAAGTCACCACTGACAGGGGGCTCTCATTATCCACTCACATCTCTGGAGGTGTTGAGGGGTGCGGAGGGGTTAGACAAAGTAAAAAAGGAAAATAGGTGCAACTGAAATTAGGAAGATGGGAAGCAATGAAGGAGAATCCTGGAGGTGGAGAGTTCTTTCAGAGGAGTTGGAGAGAGGGGGGGAATGAGAGTGTGCTGCTCCTCTTCTCAGACTGACGAACAACCTGCCTGCTGAGCCCCACGCTGCCATGACGTCATTTTAAAGCTAAATATGTCATGTGCCGGAGTGTCTCACGTCATGTGGGTGCACACTCATGAGTGTCAGATCGGGTATGACAAGGGGCAGCACGGCCCAGTACAGTACAGAGCTGCAAAGTGCTGTGGGACTGAAGCATGGATAGCCATCTGAGTGGAGTGAAAACTGCTGGAAATACATTAGGAAGACACACAGCATTATATCATAAACATGTAGCCACATCAACTGCCAAGTGTGTCTATTCATGCAGGATGTAACCTTTTGTTTTAGCCACACAAGGCTCCTGACAATTTGGCATATTTGGCATATGTGCTCCCCCAGCCCGAAAACATACATGTAAATATAGCTAAATTATTATTGTAATTATTATTATGAGTGATATTGGCAGGTAATGCAGCTGGCATTAGCAACAGTGACAAAACAAACCAGCATGAAAGGCATTTTTAAATTGGTTGCCACTTTAAGAAATACCTGGAAATGTGCAGAGCAAGAATTATTTAAAGAGAAACAAAGTAAATTAAAGTCACAATGAGTGGATTTTTTTTTTTTTTTAAGAAATTAAATTGATTTTCAAAATCTTCTGATGGTATGCGGTTTTGTCACCAGAAAAATGTACAATCCCCATGAAAAGTTAGAGCTGTCTATGCTGCTTTCAACAAGAAACGCATGAACCCTACCCCAACCACGAAGGGGCGATATTTTCAACTTGTACACAGGGTCTGTAATATGACAAAACCTAATGTAAGTTTGCTCGTTTAAAGGAAGTTGGTATAGCTACTAAGTGTGGTTATTCAAATATTGCTGTAGCAATATTATTGGATTGAAATTAAACATGAGAATCTTATATTGGCATTAAATATTACAGATGTTTAAACCAACTAAAACATATTTACAAAGGCTTAATCAAATTTGTATTATTATTATTATTATTATTATTATTACTATTATTACTATTCAGTAGTTAAATTCAGTACCCACCTCTTTCCAGTTTCAGAAGTCCAATCTCCCAGTGTGTTGCCTGCTTCTTATCTTCACCTGGCAGGAAAGAACTTCACCGGGATGGTTGTACCTCGTGGATACGTTCATACTAGATGTAGATCCTGTGTCCCTAGGTGTGCAATAAGTAGAAGTCGCTAGTGCCACAACAGGGACATGACTCTCACCAGCTTCTTGGCAGCAAATGCCCTTTTTACACCAAATTAGCACATAGATGCAGGTTTTTAAACACGGTAATAGACGAGTTTGCCTTTTCCATTTTTTTCTGATGTGCCGGACAACTGGGTTAGTAAACAGTAGAAAGCAGCATGGAGGCCAGTGCCAATGTTACGGTGGTTGCAGGTGTGTTTACGGTGTTTGTGCGCTCTTAAATGACAGACTGTTAGCCTAGCATACTAAAACTACATAAACCTGTGGCTGAGACGTTTACAGACAGCTGCAGATGGAAACTGAGGAAAGAGTTGGAAAAGGAGAGTAAACATATAGCCTACCCATGACCGCTGTAGCATCTTTTGACCTGGGAGTGAATGCCTATTGTATCTTTTTACACAGACGACAAAAGCCAGATGTTTTTGACCTGATGGTGGTGCTAGATGAAAAGTTGACCTGAAGGGAACATGAACATGCACCAAATTTATAGCAATCCATCAAAAAGTTGATGAGACATTTCACTTAAAAAGTAAAATTTCAACTTAACAATGGCTCTAGAGGGAAAGTCAGGGGCAAAAAGGCATGCCCTGCCAAGAGTTGTGAACAGAAAATTTGCTGTGGAATAGAAAAATATATATATGTAGTATGTGTATGTGTCAGTATATATATGTAGCCTATGTATAAGTGCATGTGTATTGACGTCAGTATTAGGGAAGTCTTAGATGTCAGAATCCATCACATCACCCTGAGCTTAGCAGCTCCATACACTGAGGTTAACTGGTGTTTTCTCCTAATACTTCCCAGCTGAATGTTGAAGTGAAATGTACTTTCTAGTGGTGGGGCTCATATCTACCGTCTTTCCCATATGACATGAATGCAGCAGTAAACTGTCATCCTGGAGGCTTTTTGCACACCTGTACAACAAGATGTCAGCGGCAGGCAAAATCCCATTACATAACAATCAATGCTTATATGACTGCATAGCAAGATGGGTGAAAATATTGCCTATGACAAGATCAGCTCTTGCGTGAGAAAAACAGAGAATGTGGCGGCCTTTCTTGTGCACCTCGGGGTCAAAGTGTCAAATCAATGTACATATCACACCTGTTTTAGCCTTTGCGACTTGCTCTTGCCTTTCCTGGGGAAAATAATATTGCAGGGCTGAACTGTATGGACTTGTTTTGTGGACAAATTCCCAATGTGTCCTAGAGAGATTCATTCATTTTTGAACATGAACATTTTTAATGTTTAGCTCCCCTTTGCCTCAGGTGTGGTTCTGTATCTCTGTGGGGCTTTTGCTCACTCTCTTGAGGATTGAAGTAGTCTGTAGTAATGAACACAGTCACTCTCCTCCCAGTCGGATGAATTGCAGCTGTTTATATAATTTGAATGCTCCATACATGATGACACAACTTTCCTCCCCTACTAATTGTCGCCATAAAGCACACTTCTGTCAAATACTCTCATTACTGCATTAGTGTGTACATATACATCCAAGTGGATACCTCTGACTGAGGAAACCATCAGTAGCTCCCAACAGATGGAAGCTGTCATCGCTCTCTTTCTCTGTCACTTCCTCCATCTTTTCCCTTCGTATTCACACTCTTTCTCCTACACTCACTGTTTTGCATGTTGTCTTCGTGATACATGTTTGTGTATGTACTCACACATGCTTCTTTCAGTTGGTTCATTCAAGCAACGTAAGTGTGACACAGTGTGAACCGGCTTATGTTGCCTCAGAGACAGAGTCACAGGTTGTCATGCATGTCTAAGACTGCGGGTGGCTTCAGCTCACATGGTCCTAAACGCAGCATACTAAACATCTGTTGTGTGAGCCATTAACACCCCACCATGAGAGTGAGAATTAAAAGGAAGAGGGGTCTGAGTATTGCTGTGTCTCTGCCGAGCTGGATTGAGTCAGCCTGATAGCGGTTGTGGGTACAGTTTAAGTGTGCAGGGTGAATTGAAAGCTACAGAGGGGGTTTATGGCTGTGGTCTTGGTTACAGATGGAGAATATAGCGACTTTCCAATATGAAATTATCCAACCTACGTTTCTTTTAAAACCCATTTTTCTTACCAAAGGAAATAGGTGGAGATGCATGCTGCAGCCATCTGACGATTTAATCTGAGTAAGTAATAAAGAATTAAGTACCAAACTCAGAAAACTTTGTGCAACTGTCCATTTAGAGTGGCTTTGTTAAACTGGTGCAACCCTGTACTGATATCAGTATTAGTATTATCATATGGGCTGTGCTGTCCATATATTCCGGTTTCACTAGTGATGGCAAGTTTGAATCTTTTCACAGACTAGAATTTTCAAATCTTGTTCATTAAAATGGACTAATCTTTTTTGAGTCATTTCGTTCATTGAACTCGGCAGGTTATTGCGGCGCTGCAGCCCTCTAGTGGGCGATTAAGAAACAGTGCTGTTCTCAAACAGGGAAGGCTACCTGGTTTGCTTTAATTGACAAGTATAATGCACAAATTCACCTGTTGATTAATCTCTATCATCTTTCTTTAAAGTCCTACGGGGCCGCAACCAAATTCAAACCATGTAAAAACCACAGAAATATGCTGTCAATATGCCACAGAAATATGCTGTCAATATGCCACAACTCCGGCTAAATCCTTCCATTTTCACAATCTTTCCTGAGTATACAACCAGACCAGCCATATCTATGTATAATTATAATTACTATAATTATATCTGTAAAGTGCTCATTCATACAGTAGTCTAACACCCCTATCCATGAGTAACAGCTATATATTAACATCAGATTTGCTGGGAATATATTGAAGTAATACGCTTGACACACTAAAACACACTATTAATAAAATTTAACTAATTTAATAATAATCTGGATAAAGCCATCCAGTTCTTAAAAGAACAAGAGGAACAAAGGGACAAACACATAATGTAATCGCAGCAGTTTGGCAGGTCTGGATGCAGAATGGGCCACATCAGGTCAGGATTCTGCAGACAGAGAGAAACAAACATGAGCACATCGCTCTCAAACACTGCCAGGTTGTTCACCAGTCAGGAGCTGTGAAACAGCAGGGCTCTTTTGATAAATAAAAAGGAAAAGTTATTTTGCGTTCTCTGGCGGACTGGGATCAGCTGTTAGCTGTAAACACACCACAGGGCTAAGGTTAACCTATGTGGCTGTGTTTCAATGTTTTAACCATGTGGTACCGGACGATATCGTGAAGGTGAGCGATTTTCGCTGTTCTAGCTGTTTTCCATCCAAAAATTTTGTGTCAACAGAGACTGTCTGGCGGGTCGCCATCTTGGTGAGGTCGGCTGAGCTGATGAGTTTCCTTTCTGTCTCAGATTAAAGTAGAGAAGAAGAGTTTGCTTTGGCGGAGGCGGTCTTTATCGGCCTCTGCTGGCAACCTGCACAGACATGCAGGATATCAA